GAGCAGGCAAGTAAAAGCATGCAAGAATGTAGATAGTCCCTCAGGCAGCTTCTTAAAAGGGTTTTCCAGGTGTGTAGGTTCCATTTCCTAGTGGACCTCATGCCCCTGTTGAATCCTACTTTTGCATGATCCTACTGTCCTGCTGAGTGTGGCATGTCTCCAGATACAGCAAACTCATTTGAACCCTCTCTAGTTGACACTGTTCAGAAATACGGAATCCAGGAAACCCTATTCCACTGACAGTGAAACAGAACTAACCACATGGGCAGGCAGGAGCCCTAAAGAAAATAGTGATTCAGCCCAGAACCTTGCTCGAATTTCTTCCATGAGTGTGGATCAGCTCCCTGAACTGGTTAATAAAACCAAACTTAATTTTCAATTATTAAATTCTGTTGTTAAACAAATATAGGCCATGAATTGTGTGCCATCATAAAAACTTTCAGGAACTAATTTGGTTAAGACGTATATGTGTCAACATCTGACCAATCCGTTAGCTTTTCTGGCACCATCTTCTACCCATTGGGTAGTGCAGGACTTGGCTTCAGCCAGTACAGAATCAAATTTTGTGTTTACAAATCCTGAACTAAAACCTAAACATACCAATTTTCAGTGGTAAGGAGTCAGTGCTTAAAACACAATTTCTATATGCTGCTATATATTTTCCAGGTCTATGTCATGCAGAGAGAATTCACAGGTCTATGCGGGTTCTCTTCTATCTTTTAGGTAGAAACTGGCATTGCATTTGCAATTTTTTTTTGTCCTTCAGCCTATGTTCTACTAAGTGCTGGTAGTCTTTAAGACAAAGGGTCCATGAAACAGTTTTTTTAAGGCCTGTTAGGCATTTTTTGCTACTGCCTTTAAAGATACGGGACCTTTTGAAGCTTGTATGTTAACTAATGGACTGTGATGTTCTCAACTTGCTGAACTATATCACTTTACATAGAATATTTATCTGCAGTTGTAGGTTCTTTCATTAATGTCCAATTTTTGAAGTCTGCAGTTAAACTCATCCAGATTTACTATGATCTTCAGGATTGCTTTTCTAAAATGTATAATTTTTTAATTGGAACTGGTAAGTTCAGCTGGCTGATTTTCTCTTTTTTTTTTTAAGGTCAGGACGTTTAATTATCGTCTGAAAGTGGATGATCATTTATTTAATGTGATTGAATTTTTGTTTGTCTTTTCAAAAATCAAAACTTTTGTTTTGATTGAACATTGTTTGTCAAACCATGTTCTGACTTAATATTTTGTCCAGGAATACTTTCAGCTGCTATCAGCACATTTGTGGCAAACTAGATGGAATGTTGTTGAAGTACACAAAAACATTTTTCAGCTGTTTAAATGTGTTGTGCCAGTAGGAAACATGGGATTGAGCTGGAAATCACTGTGAGCCAACAGCGGAGGATATGAGTTTAAGTGACAAATCACTAAAGTACGGAAACAAAGCAAAGTAGCTCAAGTTCTCATTTCCTTTTCCTCTTCTGCAAAAAAAGTCAGAATGATAAATGCCAAGCAATAATGAAAAATGCTCATAAGATCTCATTTTAACTCTGTTGACAGCAAACCTTGAAGGCATTATCAGTGTTTCTCCCATTGAACAGATCTTGCCACTGAACCCACCGTCATCACTGGCACAAACTAACACCAGGGCTGGAGAGCTCAGGAAGAAAGCTTGTGACAGAGTAACTTGTCCTGCAAGTTACTCTGGTCTCCTGGTCTCACCATCAGTCCCCATAGGCCAGTGTTCACTAGACTCTGTTAGAGGTAAGTCTCAACATTTAACAAATCCCCTGTTAAGTTCAGAGCTCAGCAGCAATGACCTATAAACAGAGGAAGCTCTTAATTATCCAGATCTTCATCTGACTTCTCAGACCACATGCCTCCTCCCAGCCAAAAGCAGGAGCGGTGGTCCAGCTCTGCCAGTGACTCTCCTTACACTGGAGACACTAGCAATGATAGATCTGTGGGGCTTACACAGCTTTGCACTGTAGAACTGAAACTGAACCTTTGACTCATAAAGATACGTATCTTCAGACAATACAGTTCTCATTCTGAAGATGAAAGGGCTGCTGGGGTGCCATTGATTATTTTGGAAATTATTTTCACCAAAGGATGCTGGTACCTCTCCCAGTCTGAATCTATAGCCCACCAGGACTAGACCCAGGGGCGTTCCTCTAATAACAGAACAGTAATGTTACTTCTTATTTTACTTATGCCACAAATCACACAGCTTGATAGCTAGGAAAAGTTCCTGGTATACATATTTCATTTTAGCATGTATAAAGACATCCACGTGATTTGTAAGTGTAATAGTAAGTGTGAATGCTCTGAGAAAAGTCATATTGGTCACAGAATCCATAACAGCTAGCTCCAGGCCTTAAGCCTGAGGGTGAAAACATATATGAGGTACAGTTTCTTTTGTGTTATCATCAGGAAGCCTATCTTGCTGGTTAACAACTTGTATTGTATTTTGTCATATCTTCTGAATAACCTCACTAATTACTTAATAAAACACTTCAGAGTAAGTAAAATAATAATAAATAGTGCTCTCTTCTGTACCTTGTTAAAGTGAGTATTATTTCCTCCATGTGTTTAACGTATTTACTGATGTGTTTTGGCACTGCTACGTAACATAATAGAATTTTTCAAACCAGCACATTCAAACACCTTCCCATTTTCTTGTGTAATAGCTACCCTTTTTGCCCTTAATGGCACTCTGTTATGATCACACTTGGCACAGAGAGCAGGGTGGCATTTTATTCCAGTCATCTGACACACCATGCTTGTTTTGGCTTAACATAAAAGTGTGTTTCCTTTTACCAAGTTCATGACAAAAATGCTCCTCTGACTTACGAAATTTCTGGCATGATCAGTTTATTGAACTGAGGATAATCACATAGTATCATTCTTAAGCAAGAAATAAATCATAAAAACAGAGAATCATAGAATCAACTAGGTTGGAAAAGACTTTAAGATTACCAAGTCCAACCACTGCCCCAGGACTGGCAAGTCCACCACTAAACCATGTCACTAAGGGCCTCATCTACACAGTTTTTGAACACTTCCACGGACAGTGATGACACCACTGCTCTGGGCAGCCTGTTCCAGTGACTGATCACCCTTGCTGTGAAGAAATTGTTCCTATTATCTGATCTAAACCTCCCCTGGTGCAGCTTCAGGCCGTTACCTCTTGTCCTATCATTTGTTACTTGGGAGAAGAGACCAACCCCCACCTCACTACAACCTCCTTTCAGGCAGTTGTAGAGAGGGATAAGGTTCCCCCTGAGCCTTCTCTTCTCCAGACTAAACCCCCTCAGTTCCTTCAGCCATTCCTCATCAGATTTTGCCCCAGACCCTTCACCAGCTTTGCAGCCCTTCTCTGGGCTTGCTCCAGCACCTCAATGTCACTTTTGTAGTGAGGGGCCAGAACTGAACACAGGATTCGAGGTGCAGCCTCACCAGTGCTCAGTACAGGAGGATGATCACTGTCCTGGCCCTGCTGGCCACGCTATTTGCTTCATGCTAGTTGCTATTCATTTGGTATTTGCTAAAGGCTTCAAGAAGAGGGTGCTTTTAGGGTGTTTTTTAAAGACAGCCATTCTCTGCTTCCACCCCATGTCTGATCCCTTTATATGGAAATGCTTTACTTGTAGCAGTCAAGGCCTTCAAGAGCTGCACTGTCCCACAAGCATGTGAACACTGGAGTGCTCCATGGATTTAAGCTCCAAGTAGGAGTCAATGAACACTCATGTGTCAAAGATGGACAAGGACACACACAAAAATCCCAAACCAACAAACTGGAAAAATCTACTTGCTTTCTTTGATTAGTCATTACTTCAGCGGAGGTCCTTACACTAACTAGACAGGTCTTGGGTAGAGGGGAAATAAAATTTTCAAAGAATTAATTTTCCTCATCAATATCACTCTGGCTTTGCTTCCACTAAGATTCAATGAGTTGCTCCTTGTCAAAACTCTCATTTCATAAAAGCTGTGTGAAGCTTCAGTTTATGAAACAGTAGGTAAATATATTTAGTGAGCAAGAGACACGTAGCCAAACATCCCTGCAGACAAGGGAGCTCCTGACATTATATCATCTCTCCCAGTCTCTCAGTTCTGTTGAAAAACCACTAGATGGATGCCGGTGGGACACTGTTTTTGAGATCTCTGCAGTGAAAGCTGCCTAAAAGCTATGGTTCATTTCTTCCTGTCTGCTGAATACAAAAAACTCCATGTAGAATGGGAAATTCATGCAGAATGCTCAACTCTTTCAAAGGTCCAGATAACTAAATATGAAAGGCTGTGAAAGGAGTAGGGCTGAAGAATATCCCACATTTGACCAACAGACATGAAGGCAGCACAGCTATTCAGAAAATAGCCTGGGAGTATTCTTCACTGGGGTTCTGTTGCACTCAATAAAGCACAGGATGAGGAGAGTGTTGTGGTTTAAACTCAGTCAGGCAACTCGTTCACTCACTCCCCCACTTCTTTCCCTCCCCCTACTCCCAGAGGGATGGAGAGGAGAATCGAAAAGAATGCAGCTCCCATGGGTTGAGATAAGAACATTTTAGTAACTAAGGTATAACACAGATCACTACTGCTACCACCAATAATAACAATGATAAAGGAAATAACAAGGGAAGCGAATACAACATCTCACCACCAGCTGACCGATAACTCGCCCCCCCCAGCCCGACCAAGCTCTGCCCGACATCTCCTCCAACCCCGCAGTCCCAGCCCTTCTGGGTAACTCTCATTTACATCCTGGGCATGACATGCTGTGGTATGGAATACCTCTGGCTAGCTTGGGTCAGGTGTCCTGTCTCTGCTTCCTCCTGGCTTCCCCTCCTCCCTGGCAGAGCATGAGGCTCACAAAGTCCTTGGCCAAACCAAACCATCATTGTTATCAGCTCTGTTCCCAAGCCGAAAGTCAAAACACAGCACTGCACCAGCTACCAAGAAGGAGAAAAATGACTGCTACTGCTGAACCCAGGACAGAGAGGAAAGAAAATAGTTCATATTACTTTCAAGTATTCTTATGCCAAACCTCTCAAACTGTGGCTTTTAGGTGAGGCCATCTGAACAACAGAAATGAAGAAGAAGTTTTGCTACTGCTAAAAAATCACCATATTTGATCGTACACTACACAGTAACAACTGATTTTACTCTGGAGGCTTTTGGAAGTTGTGATCTGATAACACACTACAGTTTTGATGCTCATGACTCCCCAGCTCGATTTTATTTCTCTCGTGTTTTGGCTGAAATGTATGAGTGCATGTGTGTGTGTATTCATGCACACTCATACACACACGTGTGAGTATGCATGCATACATATGCATGTGTGTTACATCCAATTCATGTTGCAGGTTTTGGTTTACAGGACTTCTGGTAGACGATCAGTCTGTCTGGAAGAAAAGTACGCCCACAAACATCACATGGAACGAGCTGGTTCTGGGCGCTGATCCAGGCAGCCTCATTTAAAGAATTGAGATCGTAGAAACCTTTGGCTGGAAAATTAAAAAAAGAAAGTATCAGCTTTCATTCTGGAGACCCACATTCAACTCTTTATGGAAAATATTTTCAGGAAATACCTGTTGACTGAGCCTTTCAGTTTAACCAAACCATATTGCTTTTGCAAATGAAAAAGAAAGAAAAGAAACAAAAGAGAAAAAAAAATACATAAAAAAGATTCTGCTTTTTGTCCCAAGGGTTGAATTAAATTAACTTCAAACTGAATCATTTTGTATTGTATGAGAGTACAGAGAAAACATAGATCATGCTATGTGTTATGAGATGCATTCTCAGCTAATTATTAACATCTTTACGTACACACTATTATCAGCAAATTTCACTTTTTGGCTTTACTTCAAGTGCTGTTCAATGAGCATGTGTTATAGCAATGGTTAGGAGCATATCGTACTTGAGAATATGCTCTTTGTACTTCTCTGGAAAAGGGGCCGAATTTTCTTCCTGTTAAAGTCTATTGCAAGCTTTGTCAGTAAGTCGGGTTAAGCTTAGGTAAGCCTAAAACCTTTACAGACAATACCTACAGTTCTTGTAAGCCATAGCTTCCAGTGAGGTCATTGCAGTAGTGCATCTATTGTCATCTAAACACTAACCCAGTCTTACCCTCAGTTATTTTCCACTGTGGGAAGAGTGACTGCTCGGAAAGCTCAGGAGTATTCTTCAAACATTCACTTATATCAGATGTATGTTCAATATTTTATTTGAGTATTAAAAAATATCTTGTTTACTTTCATCTTGAAATGGACTTTCACACAGTGTTGTTTCAAACTGATTTCCAAAGAGGCCAGGTAGGTTGCTCAATACCTGGATTTAGATCTTAAGAGTATTCATTTGAAGTACATGCAGAACAAAATCTACATGGCTCAATTTGAAGATGTATTTGCTTTGCCCGTCTCAAAAGGTATGACAATAGAGAAAAAGAATAAAAAAAAATTGGTTTTGTCTTTGTACTGCTAGCAGCAGACGATTTTTTAAAAGAAAAGGATTTGTGCATTTAAAAATATTCCATGGTTTCTGTTATTGGCACGATAGACCTCTTCATTAAAGGCCCATACAGTTTTAATATGATTCATATCCATTGGTTCACATAACCACAATAAGCCTTAGATCTCTTAATATGCCTGTTCCTAATGTTCTTTTTGTTAGAAGAGCAACCAAATAGTGTTTCTTTTCTTGGCTGAGACAAATATCCCCTTTGCTTGCAGGAAATGAATGTGTATTTTCTGTACTTCGGAAAGTTTATGGAATATAAAAAAAAAAAAGAGAAAGAGAGATGACTTTCTCCTTGCAGGCATGTGTTAGGCATTCCACAAACAAAACACTGTGTAATCAGGGCAGTGGTTGTCTTCCCATGACACTTGAGTTTTCAGAAAAAGATTTATGAAAGTTATAAAAAGTTTTATGTAAGCAGCTAATATTTCTAAGCTTTTTTTTGAACATTGGCTGTTCCATTCAACAACAGGGGTAATCCCTCCTCCCTAAATTGAGAGACTGTGAGACATGCAGTACGTGTATGTGGTCTCAAGGTCAGTTATAGCATTTACCAGATGATTGCGAGTAAGTCTCATGGAAAAAGAACAACACTGAGATTATTTTCTTGAGGTCAGGAGCATGAGGCAACTGCAGGGGAAACAGAAATTTTAGCTTAAGCTACAGAACTGCTCAGACTTGCATCAGCAGGCATTTAAGAACAGATGCTGGAAGCAGGTCGGTGTTCCCTGGGGAGCCATGGGCACACACCACCTCATAGGAGATGGTGGCGCCTGATATGACTCATTGCATAAATGAGACAATATTCTGATTCATATCTGGGAGCCTTTTGCTGGATTGTTCTCTCAAAGAGTGGTTGTCTTTCTGCTTTCACTCCTTCAAAATAAAATAGTGTATTTCAAAATAGCCTGATTTGTCCTTTTGCGTCCTCCTTTTTCAGATGGAATTCTCATTTTCTCCATGTTTTTTACCACACAACATGTAATATTAAGAAGAGCTTAACTAAAAGAGCAAATACAATGAAAATGCATTTTCAAATCTGTCTTTTACTACAGATTCAACTCTTTTGCTTGGAATTTGTTAACAAAGTCCTGATTTGATATTATTTGAGCTATGATTATTATTATTTTGGACAGCTGACTAGTATTCCCAGTGACCCTGCTCTTTTCTGTGTATGTCTTCTGTGGACATATTTCTTTGTACTGCTGCAAACTGATCTAGTGTATGACTCTTTCACAGTGAGCTGTAGGAGAATTTGCCCACTTTTACAGACATTAGGGGAAGCTGCAGGAAATCATGGGGAATATGAAATAAAGTGGGTGAATTAACTGCCTGTGAGCAAGTGATGCAAATTTGGCCCAAAGTAGCTCAAACCAGCTGACAGGGCCAGGGAAAGCATCAGGCTGACATGGTGAAATAACTTGGGATTTGAGCAGTTCTAGGAGCAGCTTCTAGGCAAAGCACAGTTAATATTTCCTTTTGGTCCAATATTGAGTACATACTCCTGAAATACATATGGGAGCCCAGGTCTGTTGGGTGCTAGGGATCATCAGTTTTCATAGATCTGAAGAGGTGGGATCTAGGCAACTTAAAAAACAGAACCTACAGCTCAAACACACATAATTGGCAGAAATATAATATTTGGTTTATACTACATATATTTTTTCCCCACTGTGTTTGTAATACAAACATTATAATAGTCTGACAAAGAAAGGCTTGTTCTAAGGCTTGTAAATCCTCTGGAGGTTCATTGTAAAAGATACTGCATTTTCACCCATAAATATATTTTAATAAAAAATTGAAACGACAGTATATGTTATGGGGGGATTTTACAGAACCATGGAATGGTTAGGGATGGAAAGGACCTTAAGATCATCTAGTTCCAATCCCATTAAATGATCTTAAGGTCCTAAGTCTAATACATTTTAAAAATACCTTTTTTCTACCAGTCATCATGCATCTAGTATTGTATTTCCTATTTTACCACAGAACTCGAGGCCACTCACTATTTACCACTGTTAAGTGCTAGTGTCAGGCTGTTTTTTCTAACCAATGCTGTAAGTGTGAAACATGGCTGAATTATCTATCGCTATGTTGAAGGGTATTTTATTTTAATGACTGTATGAGTCAAGTCCATACATTATCCTTGAATGCTTTTTCCCCATTTTAAAAAGTGTCTGTTTACAGCATTGGAACTAGTCAAAAGGTAATGATGTAGCTGTGAAGCAGTTTGATAATCCTTTTGTGTTTTGATTCAGAACATACTGACACATAAAGAGGACTGTCCCAGGAGGCATGTTCCACAAGGCAGCAACTACTCTTATTTCTCATGGATGCAATACAGAAGGAGAACAAGATAGTCAACAGAAAGCTTAAAACAAGCCTTTATGCCTACATTCTCTTTGGAGTGAACAGGAGATATAAGTACTTGCAAACCATGAAGTTTAAACTACTGCTTAAACTACTGCTTAAATTTTATTTTGTTTTTATTCCTCCTACTTTCTTCCTCCCCTTTTCTTATTTCATCTGTAGCTTACCTTGCACAGGTGTGACTTCAGGTATTTTGGGCCCTGGCCTTCTCAGGTGCTTGGGTAGCAAGGCATTCTCCTGGTGCTATTTTTTCAGGCATTGTGGCTCATGGATACTAATTGATTTTGTTCCATACTCACGGCCACATATGTAACAAATCACTGTTGGTGGCTGTCTTATCACTTGTGCCTGCAAATAATAATTGTGAGAATAAAAATACTGTTTTCAGCATTAATTTTGAGTGAGAACAACTTTGAATTGAAACAATCATATAGATTAAGGAAACTATACCTGTGAAATCAGTGTAACTGTATCAGTTTATCAGTTTTGTTTTTGTCTACATACAGTCTTGAAGCTTGTAAGGAATACTCTCATTAACTGGCCAACTGGGACAGGTAGGTTCCTGCAGATATTGGGCTGACGATCTGTGTGTGTCACCTAATTAATACTTAGCTATGTAAGTTTTAGATCTTTTATTTTCACATCACCGAGTTGGTGGAAGTGCTGAGCACCTTCACATGCAGAAACAATTCCTCTGCATGATCAAGTTGCTCCAGCACAGTGTCCACCTTAAATGCTGAAGCCCTTTTTTTACCTACCAAAGGCAAGGATCATGGAAAACAGCAACAAAAGCTTCCTTAGTTGAACTGCTGATGTCTAGCACAGTGGCAGAAAGACCCCATCTCCAGGCAGAAAGAACATAGTTAAAGCACTGTGTCCAGCCTTAGGATCTCTCTTCAGCCAGCCAGTAAAGGTAGCTGTTTCAAGCTTGTGATTATGGTCCCTAATGATGTGTAACTTCTGCCACAGACCAGTAAGATGGTAGAATTCTTGGTCTGGAAGGATTAAAACCAATCCAGGATTTTTGAGGACTGGGGGAGCAAAATAGGAACTGTTGTTTGTTTACCTTGAAGGCCTCAGTGTGAACTTGCCAGTAACTGCAGTGAGGGCAGAACTGTATGCTAAGCAAGTCATTGTTTCTGCACTGCAGATCTGCTTTTGTTTGCAGAGAAAAACATCTCAATGGAAGAAAAAAATCCCTCAACCAGAAACACCACACATGCATATTCTAAGCTTGAAAAATATATAATTACTGTGGTATTGAGGATAATGGGTTTGAGTGTGTTGTTAGGTGTGTCCTGGGCTAGGCATGCTGTCAGTACGAGTGCTGCTCCAGAATAGTGTAAAAATGTACTGCAGGGACAGCACTTTGAGGCATGCTGATGGGTCTCACAACTGCTAGCACTGCCTGCACTACTGACTGCAGAATACCAGTAAGAGTCATGCTATAGGCTGCCCCCCTAAAGGCAGAGGGACAGCCCTTCCAAACCAAACACAGGAAGCCTTTCTCACTCAAAAAGGGAGGTGGGGATTTCATTTTCTCATCTGCTTCTGTGTAAGACAAAGTATAACCTGTTTCTAGTATTTATGATTCTTTCTGTGTATTCATCAGTGTATTCAAGAAATTGGGCAGCTTTTCTCGCATTTATGCTAGAGTCTGAAAAAGTCATTAGTGAATGATCTGCATAAGCTTTCTTTCCTGTATCACACCTGTAAACTCAATTACGTGAAGAAATACTACTCTACAAAATGTGTTTTTGCTGGGAAAAGTTGGACTTCATCTGGAAAGTTCTCACAGTGACTTGAAATATAACTTATCCAAAGATGTTTTTTTCCAAGGACATTTTTGTCCGCTTAACTTTTTCCTTAGCTATCTTTGATAACAAAGTTTTTTATATATATACATATCCTTCTCTTCCTGTCCATAGCTGAATATAGCAACAGCTGTTTTAAGAATGCCCTCTAATTTTTCATTATCAATTTTCACCTGCTTCCTTACTTCAGCTCTTGAGCTAGATCTTGTGTGATATGGAGATAAGACTCTCGGTGCAGATACAGAGTCTTTTGAACATAGTGAATGTTTTTTTGTAGGCTCCAGAGAGCTTTAGATAAGGATACTACAGTCTAAACCCTTGAGGTCAGGAGGGTCATTTCAGTATGCATGATTATCATGGGTATGTTTATAGCATTTTGAAAATGGTTTTCTAAAAAAAATGCTAGGCATAAAAACACTGGAAACACATTTTCCTCACTAGATTTCATTAGCTAGGTTCCTGACATTCAGTGAAATAGATTATTTATTGGCTGAAAATGAGGAAAGAGCAACTTGATTTACAGTCACTTTGTAGAGACTCTTTACATACTACCAGAACAGGGAAACGGGATCCTAATACAAATGAAAATCTTGCTTATTTAGCCTGCACTGCACTTGCCAACATATGGGGCAGCATAATTAAAAAAAATGTATAGTTTCAAGGGGACTTAAGTCCTGATATTAGACAGGTAAGAAATCACTTAAAAAATTAAATACTCTCAATAAATTTAACAGACAAACAGAAATATCTTTGTAAAAATCAGATAGTTTTTCATCTTAGCTATATTTCCCCAGTGAAGATAGCCTTTTGTCTCTGACTGCCTCATTCAAATCTATTACACTTGTTTTAAAGTTACTGTGATGTTTTACTGTTGAACAACTGCCACAGATCAAGACAAGAACTAGTGATCTCTATCCAGGGAAACCTGGATACATTTCCACAGTTTTGAGATGATCGTTCTGGCAGTCTCACTTGAAAACCCAAAGATTGAATGAGCAGTACTGTGAACCCTCCACGTTGTGACAGAGTGTTTATAGGCTTTATATGTTTATATGGCTTTTGTGTTGCAAATGAGTAAAACCAGGCCTGCAGTTAAATAGAGGATTCTGGTTCTAAAGTTATCTATTGGGATTGATTCATAACTAAATCCTATTTGTTCAAACTAATGTTTAAGAAATCTGTTCAAGTAGAAATGTCTATTTTGTAACTTCTACAATTAAAAACTGTACAGAAACAATAGCAGAGACCAGAATTAATTAAAACCGATCAGATCACTCTAAGGATGGATTTATTCTTTTTTCTCCCCAGAAATGCAGTGAGTTTGAGCCATCACCACAAGTCCAATTATGTACAGAAATCCTTCTCTGCAAATACACATATGTTAAAAAGCTGAAAAATAAAACTTGAAGGAGAATATCCTTACAGTTGGTAGTAACAGCTCTGCTGTTGCTTCACTGTGGAATCTAAGGTATGATAAGTTTTATTTTTGGAATTTCTACAGCTGATAATATTTATCCTTCATTTCTTTTTCTCTTCAGTGTGCCTGTCCCAAATGTCACATCTGGAGGCCTGCAGTTTGAAACTAAACTATTTTTGGAACCACCACAATTTTCCAACCCAAACCACTTGCAGGCCAGTGGCTAGGCTGTCTGCTCACTGCTTTGTTTTTCACTTTAAAAAGAGTTGTAGGGAAGGTCTGTTCCTGAGGATATGTGTTATTATAAAAATACCTACAAATACCTGACTGTGCAGTTAGACTTTCCTCTGATGTCTCAGTATTTTCTTTTTTCTCCAAGACTGCTAAGTATGTCTGCGTGACCATGAATGAAGTTATTTAGCTCAGAGGGCTACGCCACTATGTATTTTCAATAGACCCAACATTACTTGACGTTAGCCCCAGGCTGCTGTTATGCTGTTATGCGAAGTCAAATCCTCCCATACTGCACAAAGCTTTTAATTTCTTCTTAAGTACACCCAATAAAACTGACTCCCAAAACCCCCTCATAAATACTTATCATCCGGGACTGTGCATCCCCCACACCTTCCTTATTTGGTTAATTATGCATGTATTTGAATGGGAGGAAGGGAGGCTTCCTGCTCTAGGCCAGAGCTCTCACTGTAGGCTTGAACTGCCCAAGGAACAGAGGCTCAGGAAAAGATGGGTGCACACACTTAGCAACAGCATTGTGTTGTATGAAAGCAGCCTTTTCCACACATTTCTCTCTGGAAAGTAAGAGGTATTTTACATAAGGGACAGGGACAAGCTGTAGCAAGGCTCTCACAACCATTTGAAGGTGCATTTCAAAGCCCTCTGAAGTGCTGTTAGCCACTGCCCTGACACAACAGCAGATTAACATTAGCACAGGTCATACGCCTAAGTATGAAATTTCCTTGAAAAACAAAGTAATTCTGCCAGATGATGAAACAAAGATTTTACTCCACTGGAAGCACTAGAATATCACATTTTACCCCTGATCTGCTGTCTTTTCAGAGAAATACATTAGTATAATCAACATGGCATTTTGTGTAAAGGCAGAAAAGCGGCAAGATCAATTGTTCGCAGTGGCAATACTCAGTAAGTTTCACTCAAACCATTCACTGTCCATTCTCATCCAACTTTCTACATTTGCAAATATATCTGTATTCTTCTAAGATGTTAAAAACTTAGAAACTGTTTGCAACAGAGGCAGACAGTTTATCACTGACTTCTCAGCTTCATTACAATTGCACAGCCTCTGAAAGAGTTTTCATTTTACCAAGTAAGTAGATGACTTTATGCTAGAGCAAGGTGCAACATCAGTATTCTTTTGCTATACAAGTTTTCAGAACTTATGTTGTGTTAAAATGCATTATAATACAGTAAAGTCCCTGAAATATTATTTTTAGATAGTTAATTTGATAAGCAGGTGGCAGCATCAGTTGCTAGTGACACGTCTGATAGGCTTTTAGGAGCAGCATTATCTGCTGTCAAAAAAACTGTACTGCATATACCCACAGCAAGATATTTATTAATATTCACTTATATGTAGCAGACTATTTGGTCTGTGAAAGAATAAAAAACACACTCTGCTCTAGTGCAGTTCTGAGTTTCTGTATTTCCAGACATCACTTCCATTGTCTGCGATATCACAGCACAAACCAAACAGAATTTCTGAACTGAGGTGACCCCTGTCTCTTTATAAACATAGACTGTTTTACACAGAGAGACATGATTAACCCAGATGTGTTCATGGATTCTGAAGGGAAGGACAGTTAGTGGAAGAGATGGCTTATGGAGGCTGTTGAGTCTCCAGGTATAAAGGCATTTTATGGTGAACTAAGTGTTTGCAGTAATGATACTGGTCTAGCTGATCCTGCACTGGCTAAGGGAAAGATTGCTCCAGGACAGATGCATGCACATAAAAGGGTTTGCAGCTGTAAAGTTAAAATGCCCTTCACATGATATAGCACCAAATCAGTCAGATCTTTATTTTTCAAATGAGGAAACCCCAGTTTTTTAATTTAGGACATCTTTCACTGCATGAGGTAATTTGACTTATATAATGGTTGGGGTTTGTTGTTTGTTTGTTTGTTTGTTTGTTTGTTTGTTTGTTTGTTTTTTACGGTTGTTCCTTCCCTCTCGCATTTTGCTGAATCAGGACTTTCAAACGTTTAAAGCTCCAAATGCTTTCCTGCCAGGACCAAAGCAGGTTGCCATTTCACTCCATTACTGGTATTCTTTAACAGAATTAATAAGCAGCTGAGTAGCTGGTAAGGTGAAAAAATTAAAACCATATGCTGGAAAAAAGATTAAGAGGACTGTAGAGATGACCCAGACCTTATCCCAGTTCATAGAGAACTTGCAGGCCTTCTGTTAGCTTACTGCTTTTCAACATACTTCAGTGTGGACCTTTCAAAGCTTTTAACTGGAGCTGGTGACCCTCACACACACCTATGGAAAAGAGGCTTCTTTTGACCACTTCGCAGGTTGCCAGAACTGAGCAGCTGCTGGGATCACAGGATGTTTCTTTCACTCTCTCCGTTTCTATCTCTGCCTTTTGTACCTCTGTTCAAAAGGACAGCTATAAAACTAATAAAAATGAAGGACCTCAGAGAGGCAAAATCACCCTTTCCTGAAAGTTATTGTTAATAATAAAGTCCTTCAGAGTCAATTACAAATTGCAAGCTGTACAGCCTTATTGCTTCTGCTGCAACTGATGAACTGTGACTGCTTGCAAGTAAATGAAGAAACATGTTGCTCACACAGAAGGAGGAACAGATTTGAATACATTTCTGCAGAGCTCATGGAACTGAAAAGTGGAAATAATAATGTTTTTCAACAAGTCAATGGATGTGACTGAACCCACACAGGAAGAAGATACTGTGCAAGAGAGCAACAATTTTGCAGGGTCACTCTCAAAGCCAAACCACACTCTAAACTTGGTTGTTTTGTGTTGCTTTGCTGTTTTGTATTTTTGTTTTGGTTTTTTTTGGTATTATAACTATGGACACTTCCCCTCTCCCCACACTTTTTTTAATTTAAACATACAGAATTATGTATGATGCATAAAACCCTCTGTTTCACACCTATGCCTTTCACTGAACAATCACCTTTTACAGGAATGCCAGTTCTTTGGTAAAAGGTAAAATATAGCATATCACATCTCCCCTAAAGCTATAGATATACCTGTGCAGCACTTTGAACTGTTACTGGGTGGTTTGAAATCTGCTGATAAAAGATCTGAGGACTGGACCTAACCTGCCAATAACTATGAATTAGTGGCCTTAAATAGCAAAATATAAAAATGACCCATGTTGTCTTCATTCTCATGTTTGTTAAGGTAACACTATTATCTCCATTTCACTCAACAGATGGAAAATATAGCATGCTTTGACTTTTAAAACATCTTCATAAATGCTCTGCATAGCATTGTTCTCCTTTGGTGACTGAGAAAGCTAAATCCCATTTTCAAAAGTAGTGTAGGCAATCATGAGTCCAACCTCCAATGAAAACAAACAAAAAAAAAAGCCTTTTATTTTAGACACTGGGACTAAACATTTACCTTACAAAACTCCTGGCCAAAAGACAGCCTGTGTAGAAACAAGTGCAGGATAAAAAATAATCCATTTTCCAAAACTTTGTGTAGTTTTTGGATAATGTGAATCAGCTTCTTTATTCTTGGATCTTGAATAAAATTCAGTGGAAAGAAATGCGCAGTCTTATTTATTTTGTTGTTATACCCTGAGTTGCTGCTTTTGAACATGCAGTACTCAGTAAACTCATGTTCCACGCCATGGCTAAGAATAATGGTAAAAAATGAAAATCACTGGAGAGCTTACAGGATAATGAAACCACTGCATTTCATGTTAGCTAAATAAAAATACTCAATACCTGCTAAAAAATAAAATTCAAAGCTTGCCTGACCTGCCCAACAGAAACTACTTGGGAACCATAGCACACAATGGTCCCTTTTGGGGACATAATTCTTACAGGACCACAGAGTATGAGAACCCAACTTCCCCCTTTCAGTAGGAAAATCGGAAGAAATAGGAATAAGCAGTTTCCCTTGCACACATAGTATTACCCTTCCCTTTACATACTGTTCAGCATAGAAACATGTGGCTTGGAGCCAAAAGACCCTTCTGAAGGAAAATGATTTTAAATTTTATGGGAACCCAGTCTTCCCTTGAGTGCTTAGCATCAAAATAGATTCACACCCTTTCATACAGCACACACTTAGCTATTTACCTTGTCTGATGTGGCTGGTGCAGCACCACTCTTTCCTTGACTGGTCTTAGATGGATCACTTGCTGAGCCAGACCCAAAGCCTGGGCCTTTATCAGATTTAGTGGGGCTAGTGCTTGATTGCCCTACAGTGCGGCTACCTCCTCTGCAACACTTTCCCAGCACCATGAGACGGTCAGGAAAGAAGGTTCGGCCACAGTTTCTACAGGGCAGGAGCTGGGCTTGAGCACTCTGATAAGCTGCCTCATTTTCAGCTGCAAGCGTATAGGAACCACCAGTAAGGACCACAGGTTTCTTGGGCTCAGGTCTTCTGAGATGACTTGGTAGCTGATAGTTTTCAGTACACCACTTCTCTAGGCACTGGGGTTCATGTATAGATATAGACTGTGATCCAAATTCTCTGCCACAGATACAGCATATCTTGAAGCAAGGTCTTCTTTGTGGGATGATGGGCTGATTTGGTGGCATCTGAGATATGTTTGAAGACTGTTTTGCTACTATTGCAGTGCCTGGTCTCCTGTTCTTGGGTCCAGCTTCTGGATGCACTACTTTGGGCAAAATTCCGGGAAGATCTGACACATTAGGTGGTGAAACCTGCTCTGAAGGCAAGATGCTAGAGACACTAGTATGGGCTTCTCTGGCACTTGGCAAAGCATTACAGGTTTTCTTCACATTCTTATTCTCAATATTTCTCTCCACGAAGAGTACAACATTTCAAGAAACTTCTCTCTCTCTGACACAAAAAGGTCTTGGGAAAGTTCTTGTTAGCCAGCATGAAGCTCCATCTTCTTAATTCAGTTTCATGGGCCAGACTATTCTAGGGACTTCAAAGCTTGAAAACTGCATTTAATGGCCATTTCAGTAGTGAAAGAGGGTTTCTGTGTGGTTTTGGTCTGTCTTTTGGTTTTACATGATCCTGAAATAAATTAAATCAGGACATACTAATGAGCACCACCTCTCTTGTTAAGGATACCAACCAATATTTTATCACAAGGATGAGTTTGCATTAGTATTACTATTATATTTTTAAATAGCAGACAGATAACATCACATACATTCAACCTCTGGTGATCAGCTGAACCATGTAAAACTAAATTCTAGTCTCAGAGAGTGTAAACTCCTAAAGGACATGAAAGAAGATGGTTCTGCACAAACAGAAGCTGCTGAAATACATGTGAGTTTGAGTATAATCAATGAGTATAATCAATATGCTTTATTGACAGAACTGGTATTTTTGACACAGTCTTTAATTTGTAAGCCATTTATGTTGATAGTTAAACATAATTTCACTGCCTCAAGAGAAACTGAAAACAAGTCCCTTAATGGGATATTAATGTCCGATCTCCAAAGCGACAGACAGAAGAAATGTTCCCAGTCTGTAGGTTGAAGAAGTTATTAGGCCCCCTTCACTCAGCACTTGTGAGGTGGTATATCAAATTCTCTGACCAGTCTTGATTCTCCCACTACAGAAGAGATATTAATAAACTGTAAAGTTTATCAAAAGGCTACTGAGACGCTTTGTGGCTGAACAGCATGACATATAAGGAGAAGATTAGGGCACTCGAGTCTCGAGAAGACAGTGCTAAACATTTTTCAGTTTTTCAACTGTATCGCTTAAATGTTCATTTCTCAGAGAGACAATATTTTGCGCTGGCCCTCCAAGGATCAGAAAATAAAATTCAGACTGTAAGCATGTTACAGTGGGGGTTATTGTTTTATTGCAAGAATACAAAATAACCAGCAGTCCAGCTTTAGTCTTAAGCAAGTAAAAGATTGCATAGATAGGGGACTGCAAAGGACAGCAAGGTCACCTTTGTATACTTTATAATAAAAGAAACATCTGAGTTAAAAATTATCTTGCCCTTGCAGAATATTTCTAACTTTATCTCAACCCTTCCAACTTTTAGGGGGTTCCTAACTCACAAATTTATCCACCCACTTATCCACTGACTCATCTCAGGTCACTCTCCGCTGCAATCAACCAATCTGGATCTCCTCTGAACTGCTTTTTTCTTGATGTCACAATGGGAGACTTTGCTTCCACTCAACAGTCTTTTCACCCTTATCAATCATACCTCTGAACACAGGGGCTGAATTTTCCTACACCCAAGGGCATGCTTTTTCATTGAGATTTTTCTTCTTCACAGTTTTGTTTTGAAATGAAAAACTTACTTAAACTTTGTCTGTGCCACTGAGAAGCACTGATTGGGCTCTAGTTTCTCACAAATATTCTAGGACATGGGCAACAGTGAAAAAAACAAATTGTCAGCAGGTTCACATCTTGCCAGGCACACAAAGATGTTTAGATTGCTACATTCATACTGCTTGCTTAGATATTCACAAAGCTGCATATTCCAGGGACACTTGTGACAGCCTCATTTAACAAATGTCCTATGAAGCTCAAATTTGTTTGTATGCAAATTGGAAGATGTGAAGACCATCAGAGACAATCTGTGGTTTGTACTGGAATAAATGTCTGTGAAACAATTGTAGATAGCTGTAAAATTCTTGAGAAACATTATACTTATATTTAATTCCCCCCTAACTTCAGTCTGTAGAAAATACGGTTAAGTACAAGGCTGTAGCATCCTCTCATGTCTGAAGTATCAGATAAGCATATAATGTATGTTAAACGATAAACAAAACTACAGCACTGGAATTTTTGTTTCAGATATCAGAAAGACTTTTAGTTGTCTGACTCCTATACAATATATAATTGTGACATACATTGTGGAAAAGCATGCTACAAACAAACACAGAAACAAAGGTTTCAAGCAGTTTGGACAGTAGCAATTAATAATACTTAGTTGGGTATCTAGCTGTTTTCAAACTGGTGCTATCGCATTTTAAAGTTCCTTTTGCCCCTACCAGCAGTGTTCCCTTAATGCAAAATATCTTTGCGAACTGTGTAGAGAGTATTTCAACAGATCCCAAAGCCTTTCCCTTGTTTTCCTTTTAGAAGGCCTGAATTTGCTTACCATAATTTACAGAAAGCTAATCACTTTGTACCACAACTTGCCACTGCAGGAGTTTGCCAGTTTTGACAAGGTTGTGCATATGATTCAGTTAGGTGAATGTCAATAGTATGTGAAATTTAAATTTGCAGACTAGCATTGAGGCTACTCTACTGCAAAGATCTTTCAAAGTCTGGGAGAGTTTCCAGGGAGGATCGCCTGTTGGATGAATCCGAGTTGGGAAGTAGCCAAGCTTTTAAGAGGATGAAGAGAATGGAAAGCCAGGGGAACATTAAAGGGTCATGAAGGCAGGGGAGATAAGGGTGATTGGAGGGTCACAGGAAGGGAGCATCAGAAAGTTCAGCTACATTTCATGGAACTTCTGAACTCTGCAAGGTCGTATTCATATCCTATTTATTGATTTATGTCAGAGTAATATTTTCTGCTACCTGAGAGGATTCTTAAAGCAAAAGTGGTCATCGAACTGCCTGCCACATGAAGAATGTTAGGTGACTAAATCTGTTACCATTAAGAATGAATCAGTCAATAAAACATGCTATAAACAACCTATTAACAATATAACCTATTGTTGGATTTCCAGGCTTGCTATTGTAAATACTTCATGAGATAATTATGCTTCCTTGTGGGGATTACACCATTTGGTCTATATTTATTCCTGCCAAGTTGACCTCTATTATTTGGAAACTTCCTATAAATTCAGTGTGAACTGAAAAGACATATGAGCAGTTAAATTCTTCTTTTCTCAAGAGCAGTGGTAAAGGTGTGGAGTAAATCAGTGCTGGGATTTAACATTTCTTTTCAAAGCATAAAAAATTCCTTTTTTTTTCTTTAAAGATGTTTCAACATGTCATTTAATAAAGTTGAAAGGTGCAGCTGATCATTGCATATAGCTGTGGGAAAACATTCCTCTTCTCTGCCATTTCACCAAGTACAATACTTAAAAAACAATCTCATGAATTGAAGTGACAGGGCACTTGCAACTAATGGATGAGTTCAGTTTAATTAAAAGCAAGGAAGTTTAAATAAAAGCAAAGGAAGTACTATTCAACATCAGGCTGACAGCTTCACTTTGTCCAAAATAGGACAGAATGACAAGAGTGAAAATAGCTCAGTACATCACTTATCTTCTTGTCAGAAGCAACTGGAACGCTTGCAACACTACTCTTCATCTTAACCTAACCAGAAATTGCAGCAATAGTATTATTATCCATTCCTCAGTAATGCTGCTTTCCCTTAGCTGCCATGTGTGATTCAACCTATACAGGCAAGTGGAAACTTCTTCCCCAAAGTGGCCTTCTTTGTGTCTTCTTTCATGTTAGTGCTGGAACTTGGAAGCAAAGTTGACACATACGTTTCCTATTTCCTGTATGCAACCTGTTTCTGAAGAGTGACCCTCTGTTTTTCATCTCTCTTGATTCTCTGATTTAAACAATTCCTCAAAACCCATTATAAGGTCATTTTATGAGCATGGATTCCTTGAGTGAATCGAACAAAACATATTTGCACTAGCTCAGGATTAAATTGACTGTTTCCAATGTATCCTCAACATTACTGCTTTTGACTTTGCTAGAATTCCACATGGAGATCTCTTAGCTGAAAAAAAAATGAGTTTACTTTGTAGAAGAGCACATTGCATGAAGCCTCCTGCTGCCTAGACACAACCATGCTTTTTCAATGGACAAAATAAAGGAACCGTTGTGACAATCTGAGGAATCTGTTTATGTACATTTTATGCATGCGGACTGATATCATGGCCTCTCCATCTGCAGCTGTATCAGACTGTAAACTGTTTAAACTACGTGGCTGTCTTACTGTCACTTTCCCCATCTGCAAGCTCAGAAAGAGACAAGATAAATCCTTGTATTAGATAAAAATAGAGCTAGAACAAAGGTCACAGAACTTTCAAGCTTATGTATCTCAGAGAAATACCCCTTGGACATATTTGACTCCCTCTAAAAGCAGAGACAATTTTAAAGTCTGGATTTAGGAGGGAGAACCATAAACAAGCAAAATAAATAGTGGGAAGAGCTGATTGCTTTACTATTTTTAAAACAGTACTCGATAAAGATATGGAAAGGATTTATATGAAGTACTTGCTTGAGGTGCCAGTGGCTTACATCCAGAAGCCTCTTTGGAGATGTCGTATATGTATGGAGAATTCTTATAAAATCAGGATTCCCATAACAGAGCTATGAGAATGTCTGTGTGGGTTGCTCTGCCTGAGGAAGTGTGGGACAAGCCACAGAGATACATTAAATGAAAGGAAAAACATATGGCTCCAAATGGTGGCATCCATATATAACAGCCTGGTGTAAGCCCAGCTACAGATGAGGTTGTCAGTGACAAAAAATAATAAGCTGATTTTAGCTTACAAAAAGATGCTGGTTAATTCAGTATCTCAGCATTCCTGGCTACGTAAGTCCTTACTTATGTGAGCCCCCACTTCACTCTGGGAAGTTTTCCCTTTGTTTACCTTCAGTACTACACTTGATGTTGTATACTCATTCTGCCTGTTCATCACTCAGTGCTTGAAGTCATAATCTTTCTGTTTGTGACATCACAGTTGTTATGCTGGTCATTTCATAAAGATGATTTGTGTAAATTGTACTGAATTCACAAGGATTCTAAAGGAAAGTTATTTCAATTGTAATAGGTAACTTTACTGTTACATAAATTACAAATGTCTCAAATAGCTTTAGGTGAAAAACAACAAGCAACAACTTCTTGCATTACAATAGTACCCACAGATCCTGTTTTCTCAGTCTGGGCTGGACTGTGTAAAAAGACAAAGCAGAACAACTCAGTCTAAAATGACAACAATATAGAAAAAGAGGGATTAAATGATCAGCTGAGAGTAACACAGCAAGTCAGGAAGAGAAGGAAATTAATCTAGATTTTGTAGTGCTTCAAAACTAAATTAGTTCAGTCACAGGATTTTCTAAGGCTGATCCTTAACTTTACAGTTAAAGGTAAGACTTTTTTTGCCCTTTTCCAGGTTTTAATTATATTTACATATAAAAGAGGTGAGGTGTCAGAAAGGTCCAAACTGACTTTCTGTGTTGAGTGCCAAAACGTCTTGCTTCAGGCTCTTTCCAATTTGGCTCTTTCCAAATGTTTTCTATGAGGCTTCCCATTATTCTTTAAGGGAAAGAAAATGAAATCAAACCAACAACTTAAGCTGTATTTTCTCTTGTGCTAAATGTTGTTTTGTACTGCTCAATTAAAAATAATTTTAGAAATCTGTTAAGACAAAGTACTCAAACAGAAGTTAGACAAAAATATTAGATAATTTGTAGTATCTTACTGTTGGATCTGGTTCTCACTGAAAGATAAAAGGAAAAAAATTATGTTTCCAACAATATTTTTAGCAAATTAACCACACATTAAAACCCTCACATTTTTCCAGATCAGCACTGTATTTTCACCACAGTTCCTGGCTGGAGGAGCCTCCTTTGATTAGTCCTAGAGACTAATCTTTTTCTTCAGTCATATGAAAAGAGTAATCTATTATTAGATTAAACATAAATAAAGACCACTGAGATGTAGAAAATCCACAGTTTTCTACATCCGGATACTTTATCTTGTCATAGCTGAGCATGATCCCATATGTTTATGTGTCCTTCTATCTCAAGAAACAGTTTGTAAGCTCCAAACACTCAAATATTGGCATGTACCCCCACTTCTGGCAGCTTCAAGTTGTAAAATCTAACATCACAGCAGCCTGCCTTAAATGTCTTGTGAGTAATGCACACTCAGAAACATCCAAGTATGAAGATTGTTCCATCAGAGGATCAGCTGCACGTATAGCAATACCTTCTCCCCCATATTAGCTGCAGCCCAGAGGCTGGTGATTATGCCCTCATTAAACATAGACACAGCCAGCTAGAAGTACAAGGCAATAATACTGAAACCCAAATATATCAGGTTAAAAAGGCACTGTTTTCTAGAAACATATGTGAATTTTATAACAAATATTTTTTCTGAATGTTTAAAGTTTTACTGTGGGAGTGGTGAGACAATGGAACAGGCTGCACAAAGAAGTTGTGGCTGCCCCATCCCTGGCAGCCAACCTGTTCAGGGCAAGGCTGGATGGGGCTTTGAGAAACTTGGTCTAGTGGAAAGTGTCTGTGCCCATGGCAGGAGGATTGTAACTAAATGATCTTAAGGTCCTTTCCAACCCTAACCATTCTCTGATTCCATGATACTAAGTGCCAGTTAGACAAAACTAAAACTTTTTTCAAAGGTGTACCTGTATCAATTACACAAGAATAAGAGAGAAATCACTAGTGTATGCATACATATGTGTGGAAGGGGTTCATTAAAATGTCAAAGAAGGAAAACATATAAACTTGAGGTTTCTATGTGATTCTATATAAGGTGTTTTCTGTGATGTGACAGTCAAACTAGTCAAAGGAGGTTTTCTAATTTTCCTCTGACCTATTAAAATGACAGTATCTTTAATTGTATCTGATCATCTTCCTACTTAAAAACTTAATGGGTCAATCCAAAATTCACTGATGACTGATGACCCAGCAGTTCTTTCATGTTATTATGTCCTTGTCTGCCCAAACATAAGAAATAATTCATTTGATTTGATCAAAATAATGAAACTATATGAAGGAATTATGACTGCTATTAGTTAATATATATGGATAAAGTAAAATATTTTCAGTTGAAAAAATGTAATTTGTCAGAATTTCAAAATTCACAATTCTGGACCTGCTTCAGTAATAGCATTCTCTCTACAAACAAGGTTTTGTTTTCAATATTTTATTCAGTGATGCATTGCAATTTATCAGGGTGAAGATTACCTTAATTTACTTACATAAAACTGTTTAGCACATGCATATTTTAAATGAATAATGCTACCCTGCCCCCACACTTACTCGTGCAAAACAGCATAGACATAGATATAGTGCCAGTGTTGGTGACTCTGGGGATACTGTGCATCATATTCTTAATCTTTGGCAACTACTGCATTAGATCTGTGATATTTAACACTGTGCAAAACAATAGAGGTCATATCAGATAGGGAATAGACCGGGTGTGTCTTTCACACAGAAGTATGAAAGAAAGTAGACACTGAGACAAGGAAGCTTACACAGCTCAAGGTGAACTACATGTACTTGATAGCTCAGGTGTCTTTGCTCAACACCTCCATTTCTGGGACTGTGCAGAATCTGGCTGGTTCCCAGGGATTTGATGGTGAGTATGCAGTTTGTGCAATAATTTCAAGAAAGTAGGCTGATTTTTTAGAGGGAAAATATAGGTGGATGGATAAATGCATAAGTGATTACATGTCTGATACAAAAAACGCCAGCTTGTACAAACTGCCACATGTCAGGGGAAATCAAAAGGATGAAAATGTACACGGGCTGAAGGCCTGTCACTACAACAGTAGTGTGATTCAGTGCAGGAAAAACACTTTTCTCAATAATCTGCATTAACACAGTTACCTTATGCAGGAAGGGGTAAATGTATTCATTTTTTACAGTGTAAATCAACTTTAGTAATTTTTCAATGAAGTTTTGCTGACAAGTGACTCCATAACTAAGGTTTCTGATAGTTTCATTATGAACAGGATATTTAGCTAGCTAGTCTTATTACCATGGCAATCCTTATGCTGTGGCTATTAAAATTATTAAATTCTTATGCAATGGCTATTAAAATGAATATGAAAACTAAATGACAAGAGAAAGTCACAATAACAGAGAACTAACAAAGGGAATCTAGACAAGCAGATGAAATTAGCTGAAGTGGAAAACGGCTAGAACAACAAAACCCTGAATATCCCATTTCTTTTTTCAAATGTTGGTAGACCTAATGAGAAGTTGTTAAATACTCATCATTGTATCTTGCATGAATAGTACAGTACATCTTCATGCTCTGAGGAACATTCATGAGGTAATGACACAAAAAGAAAATGGCCACCTCCTAAATCTATAACAGAAAACAGTGTGCGAGGGGGACTACTGAAGCACTCATCCAGCATGAGATTTGAGGGCATTACAGCAAAACCTGATGATGGCTACTGGGAGGAAAACATGCTTTTTAAGGGTCTTGTGGTAAGAAATCTTAAAAACATCATAATTTTACATTATTATTTTTCTCCTGAAGATTAGATCAACGGGAATTGGTGTGAGAGGACATAGCTGACAAGCTTCATTTAGTTTTACCTGGAGCTACTAAGCTGTGGTGATTCTGTAATTAGTTATGCTTAACAGTGGTATTTTTCTCACTTTATACTTGAAAATATGTTACCTATGTATCTCTCTATATTGTTCTGTTTCCTGTTTTATAATTCATTAGGTAACAGAATGTTACCTTCAACAAGCCAATAGAAATACATATGAAATGTGAGCCTGAAATATCTCCAAATAATGTGGGTTAAATTGACATGCAAAATTGCATGTATGTCTGAGCTTTTTACTGTGTAACCATAATTTCACCTGATTAGAAACCAGTGCATCCCATTCTATATAAATGTCTGAGGAAGTTAAGCAAAAAAAAAAAAGTAGATTTAAATAAATAAACAATTTTGAGATTAAGTCAATGGTGGTAATGTATAACTCGAGCTATCAGTTCACTGAGAGTATCTTCAGAAGAAATTCTGTAATCAGCTTCAAGAGAAAACCAGTCAGAAAAACAGCAAAGTTTCTTGTCAACTGGTGTTTTCCAAGCAAAAAAAAAAAAAAAAAAAAAAAGGAAAAAATCTGGCTTTTATAGTAGTAAACCTTGTCATTATTGTTGAGCACCACATATTTTCCAGGGATAGACTTGAAAGGGATAATTTCTGCCACACAGGACAATCAGTAATTATGTGGCAGGTAGGGTCTTCTTCTACACAGAGTAACATTTCTAGCTTTCAATATCCAAACAGTTCCCCATAATGATTTCACTTGTATTCTCCTGCTCCTCAAAACACATACACAAATGGACTTCCCGAAAAAAAGTGAATTAGGAAATCAGAACATTTGACCTGGTAAATGCTTACTCACACGCTGTTTTCGCCAGGCAATCTCAGCTGAAATGGATTCCACAGAAAAATTAATTATTCTTGCAGTAAGCGCTATTGCACACCTTTTACCAGCTAGCTGGTCTGAGGGGAGAAAGTCACTCAAATCTTTGCTTGTTGACCTTTTTACTTAGCTGTAAATGAGCCCCTGAGCAGGGTCCTAGCCATCTGGTACTTTGGTGTCAAGCACTGATGCAATGGGGTCAGGACAGGTCACAGGACTGTGATACTTAATCCTTAGTTTACTAAGGTTCAGGCCAGTACCGTTGCCTGGGTTTCACAGGGAAATCAGTTGAAAACCAGAAAAGTAGGGATCTGAGCTCAGAGGATCCTGACTGCCAGTGGCTGTGGGCAAGGCAGTAAGGTTGACTGGACTTGAGGACTGAAGGAAAACCCCAGTGCCTCCTCACCCAGCCATTCCTACACCTTCATGTGCTAAAAAAGTCCACAGGTTTACTCAGATGCACAACTCTAGTCCGCGCAAGTCATCACATGATTAATGTTTTCCCAAACGTTACCTTTTCTCCAGAGAGTTCCTGAAAAATCCCGAATTTCTACAAGATCTGTGCTTCTCTGGCGTTGCTTTTCGGTTCAGTTTGCCCTTTAGGGAAGAGAAAGAACGGGCAGCGGTGTTACGCGAACACACGTATCGTCCGCCCCGGGCACTGGCATGTCCCCTGTTTGCGTTACTGTTCCGGCCGGACCCCGGGTCTCGTTGGGACAGGCGCCCCCCCCCCCCGTGACACCAGCTCCCGCGACCCCAGCACCCCGCGGTTCCCACGGCAACGCCTCAACACATGCAAATCATCTGCCGGCTGACGAGCGTCCGTTGGCAGAAGCCACAGTCTCCTCACGGGGAGAGGGGCGGAGCCCGATTGCGGCGGTAGCATGGCCGGGGGCGGGCAGGGCAGGGCACGGCCCGGCACGGCCACGTCAGAGACGGGGCAAGGGCAGGGGCAGGAGCAGGAGCAGGAGCAGGGCAAAGGCAGGGGCAGGCGGAATGGCTGGCTATGGCTCCAGGACCCTCTCCTTGGAGGCCTTGGGAGGACAGGGGGAGCTTCTAAACTGACCAGCTTTGGGGGCAAAAAATTTCTGCTCAAGCCCGGCATTAGGAAAAAATTCTTCCCTGTGAGGGTGGTGAAGCACTGGCACAGGTTTCCCAGAGAAGCTGTGGATGCCACATCCCTGGCAGTGCTCAAGGCCAGGTTGGATGGGGTTTTTGTGCAACCTGGTCTAGTGAAAGGTGTGTCCCTTCCCATAGCAGGTGGATGGAAATAGGTAATCTTTAAGGTCCATTCCAACCCAAACCATTCTGTGGTTCTATGGAGGGTTCCCAGTCAGGCTCTACATCCATGGTCAGGGTCTTCTCTCTCAAACCCTTTCCCCTCTTGATTAGGTGAAAAGGGACAAATGGAAACAGAGAAGAGTAAGAGCACAAGGAGCCCTAATTCAAGCACCTACACAGGCATCATTCTCATTCAAAAATTCACAGCTTTTGGCTAAATTGTTTCAACATTTTTCCAAATTTAACTTTTGCAAGCTTCATATTTTCCATGGAAATTAATTCTACAGAAACAATGATAAATAATTGCTACAAGGAAGCACCACTGAGTCAGACATTCTCGTGGCAAATGTACTCTGCTGGCAGTGCAAGCCCACAGTACTTCTTCCATTCTAACCCTTCCTGCACAACGAACTTCAGTTGTTGGTTACCGAAAACCTTAAAAGGCACAACAAGCACCATTTGCTTAGAGTCTTGGCAAGAGCAACGTCCTGTATTCTACTAAGAAACTGAGATCTACTGCAAAAAAAATCTAGTATCCATTTCACATGGAAGTTTTTGGCGCTGCAAGTATGCTGCTAAGCAGACATGAAGCAAACGTGTCAATGGGTTTTTACAACCACAAATTCTTTGACCACCTCCCCTGGCAGTTTTACTGAGTTCTCTAAATCATGTTAATTCCCAAGCCTGAGATACAAAAAAGGATAATGACAAAAGGCTTACTGAAAAGTTAAATTGGATTGTCTAAACTGAATGAGTTGTATTGCAATTCATGACAACACCAGGTATGTAAAGAAGAAAGGTGGTAGTAGGGTAGGTGTCCTGATGCTGCAGTATCAGTGTGCCAGACTATTAATTAAAATTTATGGCATATATGGCAAAAGGTATTTATCAAAAGAATAACACTTGGATTCCATGCAAATAGCATTTAACCTTCATTTAGCCTTAGGGGTTAAAAAAAAAATTTGTATTGCACAAAATTTATTGTCAGTATGACACAGAGCTCCAACCTTTTAACACAATTTAGATGCAGACTGGCTTTTTACAAGCATTTTCAGGATGCTTTGATGTCAGGAAAAATGCATGAGAAAAATATTATACCTTGAGTACTGATTCTGTCACCCAAGACTGTTAGCTTCAAGTTATTTAAGGCATTTGAAACTGCGATGACTACATGTGATAGACAGGTAAATAAATACTGAAGAATAATACTGCAGTTGCAGAGTCAAAATCCAGAAAGTATTAAGGTTAAAGTTACCCTTTGCTTCACAGATCTATAAGAAAAGCTATAAAAACACATAAAAGAATGCTTGTGTTTTATAATGTGTCTTCAGAAGTTACAAAAATATTTTCCTCTGTTGTAAGATCCTACATGTTGTAAGGTGGAACCCATATTAATGGTAGACAGACTATTGTTTGCACATGAGCTGTCTGAGATATCTGTGCAAATGTCTGGAAATGGCAAGGGCACAGTACAAGATTACTGGGGGGGGAACAACCCTAAAACAAAAATCCTGTATTATTTTTTACCTTTGGAAAAAAAAAAAAAAGTGCCTTCAGATCATTAGAAATGGGTAATAAACTAATACTTCAATTCTTCAATTCAGGTTTAAACACAGCCCCCCCCCCCCCCCAATCCTTATACAGTTCTCATCAAGGTGATGGAATATATTTTATGTTACAAAAACAGTCAATAAAATAGACTAGTTTAATAAGTTACTATGGTTATAAAACTTGGTAGAATTTTACATAAATCTGTTCATACCAACAATATATTACTAACTGGTGACTGTTCCAGCTGAATTCTTCATTGGCATTTTATGTATGTATGTATTTATGTACGTGTATATATATATGTATGTATATGTGTGTAGATGTTTAGATATTTGAAAAGCAAATGTGGACAACCCTGGAAAAGGCTTGCTGCCATACATGTGGTTTACTGCTGCTGACTGGTACAGATCTCTGCACTACTTTAAATTGCATGGTACCAAATTGCCTTTAATCTCTTTTGGTTTGTATCTTTTCAGTATATAGATTTCATGTACATATGCATTTAGAAAGAATTTATATGGAAAATAACATAGTCTATTCCTTATTTTTTATTATTATTTTTTTCTTATTACTTAATCAATAACAGTGATGATGGCCTGAATATTTTCCAAACAGGGAACTCTCAAACAGCAGGAAAAGTCATAGAGAAGCCATGAGAAAAAAATAAGAAATAATACAAAAAAAAAAAATCAGAGGATATCAATGTGTCTGAAAATTTCCAAAGGGTCTGAGGCAAACAGCAATAAAAATATTTGTATCTGAGCAAGATAGAAACAGCCATGACAGAATTACTCTGCAGATATTTTTGTAACCATCATTCCAAACATACCCTTTTGTTGCCCTATTTTGCTTCCTGCAAAACTCAGGGTGGGATCATATCTGAAGGTCAACTTAGAAGCAGCAGAGAAATAATAAACAGACCAACAGTATGAAAAATGCCTTAAAAAGCATCTTGTACAGGGTGAAGGTGAGAGGTCATGAATTACTAGGACTTCTTTATTTTTATTGTTTAATATAGCTCATTTACTCACAGAGAATAAATAAATGAGGGAAATCCATTTCATTACACATTATTTTTACTTTCTAGCTTGCTTTTCTGAAAGTTCTGAAATGTTTTTTATACAGCTTTCCCATTACCAGTGTTTATTTTCTCCTGTGTGTTAAGCAGTAATATTAGGTTCACTTTTCTTATGTTTTGGTATCTGAATAGTTAAGAAATTGACTATTCAGGCCACGAATTCAGTTGCTTTGAAGGCGTTAGGAGGCCAGTGTATTCATTTTTTGACATTACCTTGGTAGCTGTCACCCTTTTGCTTTACATTACAGATTAGCATGCAGATGCTCCAAAAAAGCATACCTTTAAAGCATCTGAAAGATGTCAGTAACTGAATTACCTTCCGGGTTGAGGAACTTTTCTTTCCAGAGAAAGAGAAAGGTTCCACTAAGGCTGAAAGGACCATGTGCCATGTTTTCATTACCATTTCTAATGGACAGCCAGAAGACAGAGAAGATTATGTTGCAGCTAAAAACACAGCTCAAACATGTACAACCAGATTTCCCTTTGAAGCTGGAAGTCTTCCCAGGGAGATGGATATGACTGCAGCTGAAGCAACAGTAATTTTTCACGTAGTGAAATACTGCCACACATTCCAAGGCTGGACTACTCCAGGCAAATTACACAGCATTAATGACATTTTGCTGTGTGACCGCCTGAAAATACCTAGTGCTTTTTAACCCCACAACTCTATTACCTCATTATTATGGTCTTACGATACCTCTGATACTACTTCTCAGTAACAGAGGTTATTAAGGGAAATGTCAAATCCTCTAAATTAGTACAATTAAGACAAGAAAGAAATTCCGAGACTGAATTTTGAAACTCTAAAATACAATTCGGGGCTGGGAAGCATCCTCATGTTTGTAAAGAAAGAAAAACGCAATATTTAGAGGAAGCAACAAAAGAATAAATTGCAGTACGAAGACTGTGAAATTATTAACTTCCTGGAAAAAAATCTGCATGAAGAAGTATTTCAATTAATGCATTGGATTTCTCTCTCTTGGCAAAAAGGGGTAACATTATTAGTTATGAGAGACATCTATACATAATTTTTTTCCTGTGAATGGTTGTGCGGTGCTTTAGCTTTTAGTCATACCCTGCTCACTCAGTCACAAAGGAGGCAATTTATATTGCCCTGGTTACGCTCCCTCTTCAGGACTGTTATTGCAGTACATGGTAACCACGTTTATTGGCCTGCCTTCACAGAAGGCAGCCTGAGAATCATCACTCCTCACACACCAGAGCTCTCTGCTGTGAGTTTCCTCCCATGACTGCCAAGAACATCAGATGAATTGGATTTGCAAAAATCCGAACTCCTTGCCTCTGGCTCAGGGCAGCCCAACGCTCCTCTATACACACTATACATTTCTTTCAGTCCCCTTGGAGTGGCCTACCCATTGCAGCCTCATGCAGTCTGCCATTTCACTCTGTCTTGCTTCGCATTACATCCTACACAGGCAGACACTGTTGCCAAAAGCTATCCCAAGAGCTGGAATTACCTTGTCTCCATGGCAGCCTTCTCTACCTTGTTATTGTAAGACGCCGATAAGCCTGTGCCCCTAGCCCGCTAGCATCAATACCTAGATGCAAACTGGAACAGCAACATATCAGCTGCAGGAGACCACAGTTATACACAGTATATTTCATAATGACAAATTTTCTCAAGAATAGATGCTCACCCTTCCAGTCTCTCATATTACTGGAGTCTGGACAGAAGATGTCCTTTCACACATTTTTTGTACCTAGATTACA